AACTCCCCCAAATCCCCCCCAGCACCCCTCAGGTCACATGGGAACCCCCAAAAATCCCCATAAAACTCCCCCAAAATCTCCCCCAGGACCCCCCAACATCCCCTGAAGTGCCCCCAGGACCCCTCAAGCCCCTCCAAACCCCCTCTGTGAGTGGTTTGAATGATTCCTCTCTGCTTCTCTTCCCTTCCCCGCTGGGAATGGCCACACTGCACACTCCTAATTTTTTTCATATTCTTTGGATTTGGCTCTTTTATGACCACCTGAGGGTTTTGTCTTAGTGGGGAGATCTCCAATCCTCAGCTGGTTAAAAGCTGGGATCGAATCCCGTAGGATCCAAACATCCAGGACAGCTCCAGTTTATTCTTTCCTTGATATTTTAATTCTTTTATTCCCACTTTTCCCCAGCCTGCGGAAGATCAAGGATCACGACCCGGATTTCAGCACCAAAACCTTCCCTGAGAAAGCCCAGGAGATTTTTATCGAGGCCCACAACTCCCTGGCAAAGTGAGGCCCCTTCCAGGATCCGTGTGGAGCTGCTCAGCTTTCCATGGAATCCCGAAATTATGGGATGGTTTGGGCTTGGGAGGGACCTTAAATCCCATCCAGCGGGATGAGAAGGACAGAGAGGGAATCTGTGGATTCCTGGAAGTGTCTTAAGGCTGGACAGGGCTTGGGAAAAGCAGGAATTTTGTGGGGAAAAGCAGGAATTTTGTGGGGAAAAGCGGGAATTTTGTGGGGAATAGGGGGAATTTCTGGGGAAAAAGGGGAATTTTCGGGGGGAAAGGAGGAATTTTCGGGGGGAAAGGAGGAATTTGTGGGGAAACTCTTCTGTTTCCTTTGCAGCTTTAACAAGCAGAAGCTTCACTCCCTGGTGACCGAGCGCTGCTACCCCGTGAGTGCCTGGAATTTTGGGATGTTATATTTATTATAAAGTTGTATTATAATGTTGTATTGTAACGTTATAAGTTGTATTATAATATTATAATGATATATTATAATGATATAATGATATACTATAATGATGTATTATAATATTATAATGATGTATTATAATATTATAATGATGTATTATAATATTATAATGATGTATTATAATATTATAATGACATGTAATATTATAATGATGTATTATTGTATTATAATGATGCATTATAGTATTATAATGAGGTATTATAATATTATAATGAGGCATTATAGTATTATAATGAGGTATTATAATATTATAATGAGGCATTATAGTATTATAATGATGTATTATTGTATTATAATGTTGCATTATAATATTACAATGATGTATTATGAGGTATTACAGTATTATAATGAGGCATTATAATATTATAATGAGGTGTTATGATATTATAATGAGGTATTATAGTATTATAATGAGGTATTGTAATATTATGAGGTATTATATTATAATGATGTATTATAATATTATAATGAGGTATTATAATGAATAACATAATATAGTATTATAATATAATAAATATACTATGCTTAATATTTTCAGATTTGTTAATTTAATAATTATTATTATTTAGTAACTTATATTTAATTATATAATATATGATATAATTATATACAATATAATAATATAATATGTATTATATAAAATATATAATAATATAATAAATATAATTTATTATTACTTTTAATATTATGTTTGATAATTTATTAATTAAAACATTTAATAATAAATAATAAATGAAACATTCACTATTTCCTCTCTGTCCCATTTAACGCACGTCGGAGCCGATTTTGGCTAACGATTAAATCATTAAAATGAATTGTTTGGATGAATCCCTGTGTGTTTTCCCCTGGCAGGACATGGTGCGTGGGAACAGGTACAGAACCATCCGCTGGAGGTTCCTGGAGTCGCTGGAGCCGCCCAGGGTGGTGCACGTGCGCTGTGAGGGCGTCATGAACCGCGGCAACCTCTACGGGCAGGTGACGGTGAGGATGCACAGCCGGCAGGTGAGCCCTGGGAGAGGGACCTGGAATCCCATCCTCATCCCCATCCTCATCCCCGTCCTCGTCCCCATCCTCATCCCCATCCTTGTCCTCATCCCCATCCCTGTCCCTGCATCCCCATCCTCGTCCCCATCCTCGTCCCCATCCTCGTCCCCATCCTCGTCCCCATCCTCATCTTCATCCCATCCCTGTCCTCATCCCCATCCTCATCCCCATCCTTGTCCCCATCCCAATCCTCATCTTCATCCCATCCCTGTCCCTGCATCCCCATCCTCATCTTCATCCCATCCCTGTCCCTGTCCTCATCCCCATTCTCATCCCATCCTCATCCCCATCCTCATCTCATCCCCGTCCCCGTCCTCATCCTCATCCCCAGGGACACTTCCAGGGGTGGGGCAGCCACAGATTCCCTGGGAAATCCATTCCAGCCCCTCCCTGCTCTCACAGGAGGGATTCCTTCCCGATATCCCATCCAAACTTCAGTTTGGAGCCATTCCTTGTCCCTCTCCATCATCCCTGTCGGTTCCTGGAAGGTCACAGTTAGGTCTGTGCCTTCTCCAGGCTGATCAATCCCAATTTTCCCACCCTTTCCTCATGGGAAAATCCATCCCTCCATCCTCCCTCACCAAACCCAACCTGCTGCCATCCCAGCACAGAATCCCAGCCTTTTTTGGGTTGGAAAGACCCCAAATCCCATCCCATGGGCAGGAACACCTCCCCCTATCCCAGGTCACTCCAAACCCCGTCCATCCTGGGATTTTTTTGGGATTTTTTTCCAGATTTTGGCCATCTATGACCGCTTTGGGCGGCTCATGTACGGCGGGGAGGAGATTCCCAAGGATGTCCTGGAATATGTGGTGTTTGAGAGGTACCTGGTGAATCCCTACGGAACGTGGAGGATGCACGGGAAGATCGTTCCGGAATGGGCCCCGCCCAAGGATCCCATCATTAAGGTGGGAAAAGGCTGGGAAATTTCCCTGGGGGGAAATTGGGATCCCTGGGGGAAAATTGGGATCCCTGGGTGAGGAAAATTGGGATCCCTGAGTGAGGAAAATTGGGATCCCTGAGGGGGAAAATTGGGATCCCTGGGTGAGGAAAATTGGGATCCCTGGGTGGGGAAAATTGGGATCCCTGGGTGAGGGAAATTGGGATCCCTGGGGAGGAAAATTGGTATCCCTGGGTGAGGGAAATGGAGATCCCTGGGTGAGGGAAATTGGGATCCCTGGGGAGGGAAATTGGGATCCCTGGGGAGGAAAATTGGGATCCCTGGGGAGGAAAATTGGGATCCCTGGGTGGGGAAAATTGGGATCCCTGGGTGGGGAAAATTGGGATCCCTGGGTGAGGAAAATTGGGATCCCTGAGGGGGAAAATTTGGATCCCTGGGGAGGGAAATTGGGATCCCTGGGTGAGGAAAATTGGGATCCCTGGGTGGGGAAAATTGGGATCCCTGGGGGAGGAAAATTGGGATCCCTGGGGGGGAAAATTGGGATCCCTGGGGGAGGAAAATTGGGATCCCTGAGGATCATTCTGGACAAACCTGAGCTGCCTGGGAGGGGAAGCTGGGGGGATTCATCCATGGGCAGAGCAGTTTGGAATGTTCATGGAATTGTTCCCTGGAGCACCTGGGAGCTGGGATGGGGGTGCTGAGGGCCTGGAATGGCTGAGGGCAGGTGTTGGGATAATTTTGGGAATCTTTTTCCCCCTCTGCCCTACCTGGAAAAGTGTCTCTGCCTCCCTGTGTTGCTAAAAATAGATTTTGGAGAAGAAGGAGGAATTCAAGGCTTCCCATCTCATTCCCTCCACCTGATCCCCCTTTTTTTCCCTTTCCAGAACCCTCTGCTCCCCTTTTTTCCTGCTGATTTTTATCCCTTGCTTTTCCAGACGCTGATGATTCCCGCCCCAGCCCCGGATCCCTCACAGGAGCACGAAAAAGTGAAGTAGAAAGTTCTGGAATGTGGACAGCGACAGCAAAACTGGCTGGGAGGGGAGGGCTGGGAGAAAATCCGGGATTGGGCTCCGGCCACTCCCAAATTTTTCCTCCAAGGAGCCAGAGGGGCTCGGGAGCGGGGTCTGGAGGAGCTCTGGGAGGAGCTGGGCTCTGTCCCAGAGGACTCGGTGTGCTGCAGCCTCACCCTGAGGATGAGGAGTCTCGGGAGCATCCAGGGGCCGCCCTCTGTCCTGGAATTCCGTGGGAGAGCCCTTGGAATATTTGTCACCTCCATGGGAGGTGCCACAGACGTGCTGCTCGCTCATTAAAGCTTCACCTGTGGCTGTTGGCTCGAGTTCTTCCCCGTCTCTACTGATTGCCAAACTCCTTTTTTTTAAAAAAAAGACTTTAAATAAAGTTCTGTGCTCAGGTGGGTGCTGCCATTGCAAAAATTTCCACTGAGATTTCCCAAATTTCAGATTTTCTCGGTGCTGTGGGATTTCCAGCCGATAAAAATTCGATTTAATTTCACTTTTGATTGCTCAGTCCTGCTGTCACTGAGGGACTGGCACCATCCTGTGGACACGGTGACATCTGCAGCTCTCCCTGCTTTTCCAGCATTCCTGGCTGGGGAAAACACTCATTTTAATTTATTTTTTCACCCCCCATGATTGGGAATAAACCCTTGAGGCTCCTTCTTTATCCCTGATCAGTTCAAAATCCTCCCTGCTCACCCAAGAACAAACCCTTTTCTCCTTCTTCTTGTCCTGCTTTTTAACTCAGCTGCTTCCAGAGCGTGGGAGAGTTCAGGGAATTTTTATTTCTTCCTTCAGAGGGGTTTTTTTGGAGCTGTGGCTCCTTTTTTTTTGGGAGGGCAGGACCTGCTCTTTGTGCCGTGCTGGGAGAGGAGCCAGCCGTGGAATCCCTGCCGTGTCCTTTGGGATGTCACAATCCCTCTTTTCCTGGGGGGAAAAAAACCTTTTCAGGATGGAAAAGGGGATTTTTGGGGTGATTTCATGGAGGATCCAATCCCTGTGGGGAAAGGTGGAGAGAAGGGATGGAGGGACACGGGGAATGGGGGGATCTTGGGAAGGAATTCCCTGCCTGGGATGGAATTCCCAGAGGAGCTGTGGCTGATCCATCCTTGGGAATGTTCCAGGCCAGGTTGGAGCAGCCTGGGACGGGGTGAGGTGGCCCTGGATGGGCTTTAAGGTCCCTTCCCTCCAACCCTGGGCTTCTGTGGGGCTCCCCAGCCCCAGAGAAAAGGAGATTTTGGGGTGGAATGTGGCTTTTTTGGGACATTGGCCTTTCCTTCCAGTCAGCCTCTCTCCAACCTGTGCCGCTCCATTCCTCCCCTGCTGGATTTCCTCTCCAGCCCCTTCCCTGGGGAGATCCCGGCTCACAGTGAGCCTCTCCGAGCACACTCCGTAGGTAATTCCGTTTATTTCCTGTATTTACACAAAATCACACAACCGGGACCCCCCAACACAACAGCGGGGCTGGGCAGGGGGAGCAGCCTCCAGCTCCGGCCTGACAGGACCAGGGGGTGGATGGATGGATCCATGGATGGATGGATGATGGATGATGGATGAAATCTATGGAGGATGGATGGATTCATGGATCAATGGATGGATTGATGGATCCATGGATGGATGGATGATGGATGGATGATGGATGATGGATGGATGATGGATGGATGGATGATGGATGGATTCATGGATGGATGGATGGATCCAGGGATGGGTGGATGATGGACAGATGATGGATGAATGGAATCCATGGATGGATTCATGGCTCCATGGATGAATGGATGGATCCATGGAGGGATGGCTCCATAGAACCATGAATGGATGGATGGATGATGGATGGATGGATGGATGGATGATGGATGATGGATGGATGGATGGATGGATTCATGGATGGATGGATGGATGGATGATGGATGAATGGAATCCATGGATGGATTAATGGATCCATGGATGGATGGATGGATGATGGATAGATCCATGGATGATGGATGGATGGATGGATGGATGGATGGATGGATGGATGGATGGATCCATG